ACGGGCGTGCATGTTCTTGAACATTCCTTGATTAGATGAACTTTGGTGAATAAACGGTTCTTTGTTGAGAGAAATTTATTTAGGTGCGTAGGATGGAAGGTGGTTTAAGAAATATATCCTTCCTACTGGGCTGTTTAAGATGATATGATGATTCTTCAACTCCTTCAGTTTATTCAAATGTTTGAACTTTGGAGAAATAAGGAAAGGGATTATTGTTAATTTTAGGTTAAGTAACAAGTTTAGTCTTGGACGTAGCAATTATATTACTTTCGATTTTGAATTTATCAAGTCCCTATTTAAATATTGACGTGGTATGTGTTTTGGGCTAATGAGCGATGATTGGAAACAAGATGTATCAGCAAGGGAATGGTTAACCTAGATAAAGTAAGGGTGAGCAAGCCAAAAAAAAAAAAAAGAAAGTATGGTGCCTGTCCATCTTTTTGAATTTTTGGCATGGCCTGCTTACATTTTATCTTGCTACTTTGGCACATGTAGAATTATCACTTATTAGTTCAATCAAGGTGTGAAATCAATATTTAAGCATCGATGTTAATGTCAGGTACTTATTAGAGTCAAAATAGTCAAGGAAACAAGTATTTATTTATTTTTTGTAAAAAGAAAAAAAACAATTCAAGGACTAAATTAGTAGTTTGACCTGAAATTTATAGTTACAGATGGCTCCTTGAAAAGTAGAAGCAGTTTGAGATGTTCTTAAATTTTCTATAACTATTTGACCTTGAATCAGTGTATACATCGGGCCGCTCTTGCTTCTCCCTTGTGTTCTGCAACCTTGATTATATATATTATTGGCCTCCCCAGCGTGCTCTGTGGTCTAATCATTTCTCTGTTTTTTGAATTATTAGACAAGGTTGCAAGCTCAAGCTGCCGGAGTTCCTTATTCGCATCCACTTAGTGACTGGACCAGTCGCATGGCATTTTTTGGACCAAATACGGTTTGTTCAATTACCTAGAAGTCTGATTCATTTTTGTTCCTATCGTGGATATAGCTTCTTTAGAATCTAATCGTGTTTCTGATTTTTATTTTGTATTTTCTATGTGATATATGATGTTACAGTGTATCGATATTTGATGTCTGGCTAATTATGTTAGTTTTCAGGGTATTCATTCCCTTTCTATGATTTGTTAATTTTAATTTTTTTTTAAATGCATGTGTATATTGTCTATCGTTAACATGATGTAATTTAGCATTTTTTTTTTGGCTCTTTCTAAAATCCCCAGACTAATCTGATCAAAGAGAACATGTATAATTAGATTGAATTGAATTCAAATATTTACATGATTTAAATATTAAAACTTCGTTGACTTTATTCTTCTGGGCCAGGAATGAATACCTTACTTGATTTGTCTCGGAGATGATTGAGTTTCACTTCAAAAGCCACTAGTCATAAATCACGTCATAGAACCTAAACCCATGAAGCGTTTGTCCCTCTATTTCTAGTTGTGAAGTTTATAATCTGGATTGATTAGTAGAAGTACTTTAGGCATGCCATTTCAATTTTCTGGCTTGCATTCTCTAGTGCCTTTAGGGAATGACAATGTTCTGGGAGAGGCATGAGAGTTTATGGAGCAAGGATCTGTCATCATATTATCAAATCTTACTCTTAATGTTTTGCTTCATTTTGGAATTTGTATTTTTTAATATTTTTATGCTGCTACTGTCTTTTTGTTGGACTTGATATCTCTCTGTAGGCTTGAATTAATCTTTGATTGCTATATGCTGTGCCAGATGTTTGCAGATTTAAGGTGTTCTCCTTCATGTGCGCGTGCGGGGATTCATGGTACAGTAGCAATATGTCCTCCTGATTGTTTTCAGTACAAAGGGACGTTGGACGTCTTCTACAAAATCATTCGACAGGTTGGTCAATTTTCTCTAGTTAATCTTAACTGATGGATAAACTTGCGATTTATTTCTTTGTTTTTGCTTGAAAACTACTGCTTCTGGTATTGAATGATGTAGCACAATTGGCTTGTAAAATAGATGCGTCTGCTAGTTAAAGTATGTTATGAACTATGTATTTGTTTTAGTTGTATTCATTACACGTTCAAATTCACAGGAAGGATTTGCAAGGTTATGGAGAGGCACAAATGCTGGCCTAGCTCTTGCTGTTCCCACGGTATGACATCATATTAATCCAAGGCCACCCCTCTCATTGTCTAAAGTTTTACGAGTAATGATTAATGTCTTTTTTATTTAAAAGAACAGGTGGGAATCTATCTACCTTGCTATGACATATTCCGAAACTGGTTAGAGGAGATCACTTCACAGAATCATCCTAGTGCTACTCCTTATGTTCCTTTAGTTGCTGGTGCGTTGGCACGGTCTTTGGCTTGTGCAACTTGTTATCCAATTGAGCTTGCTAGAACTCGAATGCAGGTAATATGAGCACCTGGAAGCATAGCTGAATCATCCTTAAGATGTTGCTTATCATTTGGGCCTCATTTGGCAGTTTATTTATTTATTTATTATTATTATTTTTTTAATTAAGCTGGTTTATATTTTGAGGTATTTTCAAAATCATAGTTAAAATTTTAGAACGTAAAAGAATAATTTTTAAAAACACTTTTGACTACAATTTCTTCTTATTAATAGGAAGTTGCTCATGTCGTGGCATGCATTTAAATGAATGATATGGTTTTTTCTTAATGTATAGGCATTTAAGGAGATGCGAGTTGGCAAGAAGCCGCCTGGAGTCTGGCAGACTTTACTAGGTGTCGTCTCCAATGTTAAGAGCACAACTAATGGTGAAACTTCCTGTAAGTTAATTTCTAATCAATACTAATTTCTGTAAGAACATTCTTTACGCCTGGTCAAATTCCGGTTCAATTTCTTACCTTGGTTAGTTCAACTTTAGCAGCAAAAAGTTATCGTGCCCTATGGACTGGAATGGGGGCGCAACTTGCACGTGATGTTCCATTCTCAGCAATTTGTTGGTCAACCCTTGAACCAGTGAGAGTTTAGCTGTTAAGCTGTAGAGAGGTTTTATTAATCTTTAACCTACGGCACTCTATGTTTAACTGAGCTTCTTTCGTATTTTTATAGGTCAGAAGGAAACTCCTTGGATTGGTAGGTGATGAAGCTAATGCAGCCACTGTGCTTGGGGCCAACTTTTCTGCTGGTTTTGTAGCTGGAAGTCTTGCTGCTGCCGCTACATGTCCCCTGGATGTTGCAAAAACCCGACGACAGATAGAGGTTTTTTTTTCTTTCTAAATATATTGCCTGTTGCCTGTAAGAGTTGAGAACTTGCGGGATTGTTAGAAAGTTAACCTATGTTATCTGCTACACTACCCACACAATTCTAACTATAGATAATTAGGTCTGTTGTCCACATTTGAAGATGTAACAGATATATCCAAGGTTTTAGACACTGGTTCTGATTATTTTTCATTACACTTTCAGAAGGATCCGGTGAGGGCACTGAGAATGACAACAAGGCAGACTCTTATGGAGGTTTGGAGGTATCTCACTATTTCGGACTTCTAAATTGTTGTAGGTTTCCATAGAGATGCTTTATCCTTAATTAGTTTCACTAGGAAGATAATACACCATCAAGCACGAAAAGTTTGGAAGTGCTCCATTATTATTTCGTCTATAATGAGCTATCCCATTGATTGTGCCTTGTGGTAACAAAGATATGATCTAAAGTAGCTTTAGTTTTCTAGTTCGATTTTCTTCTGTATATGACTAAAATTAAATTCAACTTGAACCAGGGATGGTGGGTTGAAAGGACTATTTGCAGGAGTTGGACCTCGTGTTGGCCGTGCAGGCCCATCGGTTGGGATTGTGGTATCATTTTACGAAGTAGTGAAATATGTTCTTCATCATCAATATCCAACTTCAGCGTCATGACAGGGTAAGAGCTGCTTCTTACCTTCTTCCGGTGTAGGCTGTGCATAGGAGGAACTCGTCGACCAGGGAGCTTTTTTCTTTTAGTCTTACTATGGACGCATGGCGTGCGGACCAAATGCAATGGGTAGAATATCTCAGTTTTGTAGATTTTCTCTAGGCTAATAATAACCAACCCCCCCCCCCCCCCCCCCCCCCCCCNAAATTTCTTGAAAATCTTGTTTGAATTGATGAACAGTGAAACCAAATTTCTGAATCAACAACAACAAAAATTAGGCAAAATTCCTTTCCACATTCACAGGATTCAAACAGAAACCAAAAATTTCCAGAGTCAGATCCACGATTTCGTCTTTTACAGAACGCCTTTTTCTTTCGTTCTTTCCCCCCCCCCCCCCCCCCCCCCCAAAAAAAAAAAATGACAAGAAAACTGTAGAAGGGGTGGGCAAATTTTGGAGGCGTAAACTAATTTCAGGTTGCTCTGATGTAGCTGAAAAATTTTGTGACATTTTTTCCATTTATTCCTAAAAGTAATGTTATTTTTGGTCATTTCAATCCTTTGGTACACCTTTATCTGTGTTCTAAACTCCATGGATCATAGTAAGTTATCGCTTCTATTGCCTTCGTTGTTTCTACTGAGAAATTCCGTGGATTCAAGTAAAATATCCTTCACATTTTTATCTATGTGCTTAAAATATATCCATAGGTCTTAGTAAATTCTCACTTCTCTCGCCTTTATTAAACTTTTTGTACAGAGATATTCCATAGATTAAAATAAAATATTCATCTTCATAAAGTAGGGTTGTTTCAGAAGTGTCTGCTGTCGCCATCTTTTGTGCATCTCAAAAGCTAATATGATTGGAGATATGAATGCTTTATGGTTTGAGAAGCAACTCTGTACCTTAAAAGGAACTGGCTGACCAAATCATCAAGCAATCTTCTTCATGCTAACTGAATTAAGTCTCATTCATTTGTGCCCATGGAATCAACTGTTCATATAATTCTTCTTTTCAAACAGCGAGTCAGTGACATACGGATTATTTTGTCTTGATCTTTAGGTAATCCTTATTATTTTTCTCCTTATCAGTTTGTGTGACAAGTAGAACAGTGAACCTAGGAGTCTTTGCTTGAGTTTTTGATTTAGAATCATAAATTTAATGTTTTATTTGATTGATAAAAATTTGCTCAGGTCCATACCATTTGCTCTTAAAAAGGGTACTTGCAGTACACACTAAAGCTATTAGAAGCTGCTTATCAGCAGGGAAACCATAAAAAAAGGGAGAGAACCCATCAGAAGCCTTTGATGACTAATTGACTGAGCCTCACTGCCTGTATGTCTCTCTCTCTCTCTCTCTCTCTCTCCCC